TTTAGAACACACCTCGTAAATAAATAAAATATAACAAACCTTGCTGAATTTCATGGGCAGGACTCTTCATATCCGTGGATACCATAAAAGTAAGCAACAAAACACTCTGGAAATCCTTAAAATGGTCATTAAAATGCGAATGATCTCTTACAATTCTCTTCAAGCATTCCACAGAAAGGCTTGTAAAATTTGTAGGACCCCCATTATAAAATTGACTTTCTACACAAGCCAAAAACATTACAATTAATATTGAGTACATTATTTCTCTACTTACACTGATGATTTTATAATATGTGACACACTGCAATGTTGTAGTGATAAACATCTTTGCATGTTTGAAAAAGCGTTTTTATATCCCAAAAAACATGAATTATGTTTTAAATAAAGCAATGTAATGAATGCAATATATAAGAGATCATATCAAAATGTATACAGGGTAAATTAACTTGGTAAGAAATAGTAAAATGGTGTCAAAAGCCGAGAAAAAAACCTGTATTGTGTTGTTACATAATAACTGTCAAAATAGTGTTAAATATTAAATATAATTGTCAAAACAGCCAATAATGTTGGAAATGTAATAATTGATGTAAAAACTGCCAAAATGTCAAAAAAGTGTTATAACATAAAATTTCCGGTCAAATTTGCTGTAAGAACAGTCAAATTTCTTATAAGAACTGTCAAAATAAGAAATATACATTTACTGTCAAAACATTTTTTTTTCAGCGACATAACTGCCAAAACAATTTTAAAAATAACTGTCAAAACAGCGAAAATGTTGGAAATATATTTGCTATAAGAACTGCCAAAATGGAAAAACATTGTTATAAACGTAACATTTTACATTTTACGAATGTCCAAAATGTTTTTTCTGCAAGACATATAAACTGTTATGAATAAATTTGTTACAAGAACTGCCAATATAGGAAAAAATAAAAGTTCCCACATTTACTGTCAAAATCATGAATTTATTAGTGTCAAAATAGTGTTAAAATAACTGCCAAAATAGCAAAAGGTGTTGAAAGTGTATAATTTACTTTAAAACCTATTAAAAAAGCAAAAAAAGTGTTAAAACGCAAATTTAACTTTTAAAATATGTTCCATAGAAAAACCACCAGAATGCCAGCTCGATATAAAATTTAGTCCGGCTAATTGTTCCCGTTTTACAGATGTCGCCATTGTAGAATAATTACAGTTTCCGTCTAATTTGTAAAATAGTTTCGACTTGCGTTTTTATGTTTTTCTGTACGTTGGTAGGTGTATGACAGTTTCGACTTAAAATTTCTAGATGTCAGATATGTTTAAAAAGTGCGTTTTTATGTTTTTCTGTGCGTTGGTTGTTGATATTTATAGTATTAATTGTTTAAACTCTTAAAAAACTTTAAAATGAAGCTTTGCTTTATTTGTGGTCCATCCGAAAACGAAGTTGAAGCCTTGTTTTGTTTTCCAAAAAATCTTAACAGGTAAGTTCTTATAATTTGATTATTAAATAATTTTTGAGAAAATTGCGCATAATTTTAGATGTCCTTGTTTTCAATTAAACATGTATAAATAAATTATATTATATTTAATTATCTCTTAAATATTGTGGTTTTAGAGATAATTTAGAAAATTGCGAGTCAATTTTTTTCCTTCACACAGTTTTTTTTCACCTTGAAGATTAATATTTTTGCTAGGAGCTCCATATTATGACTCTACCTTCTCTTTATATTTACCATAGTTTGGTTGAGACCCACACAAAAAGACATAAATTTTTAACCCAATCTAATATCCATTATCAAAATACCAGAAGTGCAAACCTAATCAGGCCCCTTTCTACGACTCGAGAAAAGCAAATTAAATGGTTTGGATATTAACCTGTATAATAAGCTACCACTATCAATAAAAAAAATAAAAAGTTTTAGGAACCAGATAAACATGTATTTAATAAACAGGACTTTCTACTCAATAAAGAGTAGTGGAGACTCCAGATTTAACATTATGTAAATATTATATTCTGTTGTAATATTGTATTTTTTATATTGTATTTGTATAACTTTTGTACCTTGATTTGCCATAAATGTTTCTTATGTAATGTGGTTAAATAAAGATATTATTATTATCCACTCAAGTGTACATGGATTTATTTTGGTATTTTTTTATTGTATTTACTGAATATTTTAAGGATATTTTATTTAATAATATTTTTAAACGTTTTAGGAACCAGATAAACATGTATTTAATAAACAGTACTTTCTACTCAATAAAGATTAGTGGAGACTCCAGATCTTAATTTTAACATTATGTAAATATTATATTCTGTTGTATTATTGTATTTTTTATATTGTATTTGTATAACTTTTGTACCTTAATTTGCCATAAATGTTTCTTATGTAATGTGGTTAAATAAAGATATTATTATTATCCACTCAAGTGTACATGGATTTATTTTGGTATTTTTTTATTGTATTTACTGAATATTTTAAGGATATTTTATTTAATAATATTTTTAAACGAAAAACTTATTTTTTTTCATTTAAAATCTCCTATCATACTTAAATGGTTCCAAATATGGTAAATTATGTTTTTATAATGTAAAAGTAAACTTAACTTTACTTTTAACACTTGTAAAAACTTAATTTTCTGTAATTTTGACGAAAATATCAATTTTATTAATTAAATCCTTCAATACATTTAAAATTCCCGCCATTAAACAGGATTTAAATTTGGCGCGCAAAAGCTACAGCTACGCCATCTGGAAAGCGGGAATTGGTAGTTTAGTGGATTACTTATAACAAGGCACTTAGCTCTCTGGTGGTTCTCTATGATATGTTCTTATGTTAAAATCTATAAAAAACTGACAAATTTGCCGACTGAAAATTGACTGTCCAATATGTTTTTCTGTCAAGAGATATAAAATCAAATTTGCTGTAGGAACTGTAGAAATAAGAAAAACAAATGTACATTTACCATCAAAATCTTGTCAAAATAATGTTATTCTGTCAAGAGATAAAAACTGTCAAATTTGCTGTGGGAAACAGCGTTGCCGCACTGAAATTATCAATTACCCACGCTACTATGACAGAATACCCGGTTTTACCCCCACTTTAACATGAAAATCCCCATAAAATTACCCGTCCGAATACGTGGCTTTTTTAAAAAAAAAAAAGATGAAATTTTTATTAATAGTAAATAGGTAGGTATTAGCCTAATACCCTAGTAGCAATGGAATTGGACAAGATTCTTTGTCAAGATACTTGGAGAAGTACTTTGTAAAGAATAGACCTATCTCATAAAACGGACTTTTGGATAGCGCGTGCGTGAAAAGCACGTCGTCTTTTTTTAATTATATAAAAGAGAAAGAGATACCACTCTTCTTCAGGCACGCCATATCCAAAAGTCTGTTTTATGGGTTAGGTCTATTGGTATCTCTTTCTCTTTTATGTAATTAAAAAAAGACGACGTGTCTTTTCACGCACGCGCTATCCAAAAGTCCGTTTTATGGGATAGGTCTATTCTTGACAAAGACTCTTGATCAAAATTCTTTATCCAGACTGGTGGCAGACTTGGACAAGTCTGTGACCAGAATTTGATCAGATTCTTGGCCAAGAATTTTTACAAGATTACACGTTAAATAGGAACTTTCAATTCAAGATTTTTGGTCAATACAAAATTTTGTTGAACTTCAAAAGTTAAGAATGTTACTAAAAACATTAATTTTTCACGATTTATTTCCAGTAAATTCGGTTTTTATCCATAAATCTGGTAAACAATATAATTAAAAACGAAACAAATTTTGAAAGAGTTAAAGTTTTTAATTTTCTATGTTAAAAAAAAACCAGGTGCCCGTAAAAATAAACATGTATTTTATAATCTTTCATGTTCATAAAGAGTAAACTCTAGTTATGCGTCAGAGCTGACATACACTTTTTTTTTTAATTTTTGATTTTTAGAAATAACAATTTTTATTTTTCAAAAAATCAATTTTTTTCTCAGCTAGAAGACGAATCCAATAAGCTCCGATTCGTATTATCACAAACAAAAAAACTATACTCATTTCCTACAGAGAACTCACTTCTCGACTAGTATATATTATTGTGAATGATACTACTGTAGAATGAGAACCTCTACTCTATAGGATAGTCCCAAAGTTTAGCAATAGATGGCCTCAGATTTCTGGTCAAATTCTTGTCAAATTCTGGCCACAGTCTGGCTCAAGTCTAGCCCAATAATCTTGGCCAAGAATCTGGAACAATTCTTGTACAATTCTTGAGCAAAAATATGTCCAAAGTATCTTGACCCATGCTTGGCCAAGACTTTTCCGGAATTGCTACTAGGGTACTATTAGGTAGGAACTTTATTAATACATAGACATGCTTACTTTATTAATAAATAGTGGATGAACCTCCTCTCAGGGATTAAGTACTTTATTTTTTCCGTAAATTAGAATTTAACATTTTGTTTGATGGTTCAAATCTGACAGGACCTCCTGCCTCTTTTGTGTGTAATAATGCGGCGATTGTGTAGGTGTTCAGTCTGTTTCTGTTATAAATAAAATACCCGTTGACTGTCAAATTAACGTCAACGACATGCGCAATATAAAATAAAGACGTATAGCGCCATCTATTAGGTAACTGTATAAATGGTCAAAATGAACTTTGACATTTTCATTTTCGCAGAAATAGCGTAGGTCGAATGGTTGAATTTTAATTTTAAAGTTTTATTTTTTGCTGTTGGTTCTACAATTTTTATTTTTGCAAATTTGGGTCAAACGGTTAAAATCCCCGGTTTTACCCGTTTAATTATTTTACCCGGCACATACTCCAAAATACCCGAATTTTGGGTAAAATACCCGGCAACGGCAACGCTGGTGGGAAATGTCAAAATTAGAAAAAATAAATGCACATTTACTGTCAACATCCTATTAAAATAATGTACTTTAACTGTCAAAACAATAAAAAAGTGTTTTGTGCAAAATATGGTTTATTCCATAGGTTTGTAATAAAAGACTATAGAAAACAAACAACACTTTATTGTATATTTTATATCACATTATTCGATTTTGCTTGGCATATCTTTAAAATATTTTTGTAACAATTGGTTTTTAAACACGAATACTGAAAGGATTGATCCTAGGGAGGCTCCTATCCAATATACCACCATGTGCTCTATAAAATCATTGCCCTCGCAACCAAGTTTTAAGGACGTGGCAAGGGCTGGATTAAAATAGCCACCAGAGTAGTTAAAAGCTAAAAGTTTAAATTTAATATTTTAAAGTGGTTTTATAATAATATTTATATACTGTTGTTATATTTCTTAATCATTCACTAATTAATTCTAATGAACAATCCTTACAAATAACATTTTATCTGGCCCTTTATATGCTCTAAACTTAAATAAACCATCAAGTTTAGTCTCAAAATGGCCCTTTTAACTTAAAACTGTTTTACAAAATTTCTGACTTACCAATAACTACCATCATGGTAGAAAAAAATGCATCCAATACCCCGACGAATTTCGCGTTAGTGTCACTTAAAGTTCTCGATGTTATTCTGCACAGGGCCGTCCCTACGCCTTCAATGAGGGCCCCTGTTATCATATCGACCTAAAAAATAAATTATTTTTTTTTCTTAATTTGAGAGCAAAATTTGTTTACATGTAAATCTGCAGCACAATCTTCAAATGCCTTTCCTCTGTGTGTTTCCACCAATTCCATTGCCCAAAACAGCTGAACGTATCTAAATGTGACTAGCCCACCCAATATTTGGGACAAAACGATTAGCCCCACAGTGGACAAATTTTTACTACCTTCGACCAATTCCTCCATCGGTATGTATGGACAAGCTGATGCATTTCCCCAACAGGAACTCCAATAAATTGTCAGTAAAAATAGGGAAAGTGCATAGGCTTCAATACCCCAATTATCAGCAACTAAAAAATATATCGAAAATATTTCCAGGTTCCTACATACAGTGTCATAATAGACGCGCACCACCTGATCTACATGAATTCCAGAAAATTGTTAAAAAATGTACCTTCATTATTTAAAAAGATAAATATTTTTTTAATGGAAACATTGCCTATAATAAAGTGGTAGTTTCTTACAAGTGCTTAAAATTGACACCAATACAAAATATCAATCGTTTTTATTATTTTGAATTGTGTTTTGGTATTAGTTTACAATTACATTAAATGGAAAATTTCAATAGAAAATAATATTCCAATTATTTTGATTTGGAACTAAATTTTTCGTTTTAATCGGTCTGAATCTGAACTGAAATTTTAATCGGTTTTAATCGCAGTAAGTACCATTTTGTCAATTTAAATTGGGCTGAATTAATTTCACTTTGAAAATAATTTTTAAACTATTGAACTAAGATTTCAATCGGTTTTAATCGGAGTTTTATTTCCTCAAATTCAGTTGGGCTGAATTGGAAAATAATTTTAAAATTATTGAACTTGGATTTCAATCGGTTTTATTCGATTTCGTAAATTTCTGGTCGAAAGGACAGCATTTAAAATGACAGGTGACTAAATTACACCTGTCAAAATGACAGGTAGGTACCTAATTGACCGCTATCCAAATTCCAGATAAAATGGCAACTGTCGAAATGATATCTGTCAAAATTACATCCCATACAGCACAAGATGTCCATTGGACGTCAAATGGACTTACATTGGACGTTTGGATGTACAATGGTCGTCCGCTGGACGTCCAATGGATATATGTGCAGTCTGGGATTTGTCAAAGTGACCGGTAAAAATGGCAGATGTCCAAATAGTGAGTGTTGAAAAGACAGGTGCTGGACGGCTGTAAAAATACAGGTGACAAAATGACTGGTGCAAAAATGACGATTTTTAAAATGACAGGTGCTGAAACGTTATCTGTCAAATTGTAAAGTGCCCAATTGAAAACTGTCAAAATAACAGGTGACAAAATGAAGGCCGTCAAAATGACAGATGCAGAAATGGCGGGTTTCAAAATGGTAGGTGTCAAAATGACGATTGATAAAATGACAGGTGATGAAATGAAATCTGTCAAAATGACAAGTGCTCAAATGACAACTGTTTACAGGTGGCAAAATACCGGCCGTCAAATTGACAGGTGCTGAAATGGCAGGTGTCAAAATGACAGGTGCTAAAATGACGATTGTTAAAAAGACATGTGCTGAAAAAGTATCTGTCAAAATGACAGGTACCCAAATGACAGCTGTCAAAATCACAGGTGACAAAATGACGGCCGTCAAAATGACAGGTGTGAAAAATAACAAGTGAACTAATGGCAGTTTTAAAATAACAGGTGCCAAATGACAGGTGCTGAAATGGAATCTGAAAAATTAATATCAATTGAAATTGACAAAATCGAACGTCCATTAAAATTTTAATTTAATAGTGTCAAAATTATTTTCCAATTGTAATCAATTCAACCCAATTGAAATTAAACGTCGATTTAAACCGATTGAAATCGATGGAAACAAAAAATTTAGTTCCAATTGAAAATAATTGAATTTTTATTTTATATTTTAATTTCCGATTGAATATAATTGAATCGGTGAGATTAAAAACAGTCCAAAAATTTTCTAAAATCAATTCAAAAATTTAAAATGCTATTTTGTGAGAAGATATAAATTATTTTACAAAATATGATTATTATATTTTATAAAATAGTTCAAATAGTTCAAATATTCTCACAAAATATCATTTTGGAAAATAATTAAAAACGATTGAAAGTCGATCGTTTTCGCAATCGGGATATAATTATTTTCCAAGCATTCTCTAAACACATTATAGGTACATTTCAGTGAACAATACTCACTTAATCTAAAAACTCGTAGTGTACGTTCTTATATCTTTTTAAATAATAAAGGTAGAATTTTTTAAACAATTTTATGGGATTCCTGGAGGTCTGTAGACCATACAACATCAAGGTGGAGCGCAACTTTTGTTAATGTTAATAAATGATTAGGTAATAAAAAAGAAAAAAGTTTTAACTTGTGATAAAATCATTCTGAATAGGAAAACTTAAAAAACCTATTAATTAATTAAATTAAAAAGTTTTTCCATTTAGAATTCTATTTTTTATTAATATTAAAAGGATATTCTTACCTTAGTTCACATTTAAACGTGATATGTACATTAGTAGGGCGGCAAAATCCAAAATTTTAGACTTATATAACCACCCAATGTACCTATGTAAAAAAGCTTTGAGGGGTAAGGCATAATCTAGAAGGCAAAAAACGCAAGAAAAATGAAAACGAATGTAGATATTAGGTTTGTTCCTGCCAAGCATTTGGCGTCACGGACATGCGCAGTACCAAAAAATGCTCGGTAGGAACAAGCCTTTTAATAGGTAACCACTCTAAAAAGTTTTTCCAGATAATTTTGCTTTTTTATTTTTACTACATAAATAAACTATTATTACCGATTTTGCTAGTTTTTTATTACATAAATTTATATTCAATATCGGCAAACTAATTAGAGCTCTACTAGTACCTATATATCAGGAAAAAAATCAAATTTTATCTCTAAAACTGTATTAATGATTCTTAAAAAAAATGATATTTTAATTAAAATTATAACTATATTTGTTTACCTATGATGAGTTCAAAACAGGCAGCGCATAGTTCTAAGGTGGCTAGAAATTCCAGTAGCAATACTTTTATTAAATTATCGCTTAAGGTCTTGTGCACCGTTTTTCGTAATAAACTGGCCAGTGCCAACGTGAGAAGGATAAATGCGGAGGATATAAACATGGGGTTCGCACCAAGTAGGTTTTTCTTTTTACTGTAAACATAATACATGGTGAAACAGATAAATAACACTCTCTATGCGATGAAATGAACTACTCCCATACTGGTCCTACTAAATAAACCGAGGGGTAAACCACTTTAAAATCTTAGAGACCAACGTTCAATGTTAGTGGACGTTGTGTTGAGATTTTTTTCCTTATCAGTCGTTATCAATAAGGAAAACTTGCTTAATCGGTGCTTAATCAGTGCTTAGCGACGCGTTGTACATGACTATCCTTGTTATTGTTATCCTTAGTCGTTAATTCGTAAGCGATTTTTAATTTTTAAAAATCAGTGGTTTACCCCTCGAAATAAACATAACCCGACATAACCTACATTTTTACATCCTTAGATTTATGAACTTAATATGAAATAATAATATTTTTAATGCCTAATATTGAAAACTGACGAATTAATGTAAAATAAACCTCGAAGATTAAAATATTTTTAATGGTTGCAAAAAAATTTCAAAAATAATAAATGCAAAATAATATTAAATAATTTGGCAGTTTTCCATTTAAATTTTTATGGTTCTTAATTTAAAAATAAAAACAAGGTACATATTTATATATATCTTAAAATAAAATATAAAATAAAAATTTTCTTACCTCCAACCCACAACCCCCATACTCTTAAAAACCCTCCAAATTTTTCTTGGCAGTGACACAGACATTTTGACACCTTATTAGTAATTATTGTCACATTTACAACAATAAAAACCACACTTAAACCTTAAACCCTCCACTTCATAACATCAAATATAATTTAAATTATAATATCACCGTTGTTGACTCCCGTGCCAAGATCGCTTGCTGGGAGACTTGCGGGTTAAAAATAGATTTTAGTTTTTGTATCTTTGCATGGGGCCGCAAAGTCTGGCAAAAATAAACTTACAAGAATTTCGATATATTTTTAACCATCGTTATTTATCTTTGTTTAATATAAAGATTGCAATAATTGAGTAATTTGGAATGGGAATTTAAATTAGTTTATAACCAAGAACGCAGCGCCATCTAGCAACATTTGATCCAACCAATAGGGCTTTAAGAATATCATACCGTTATAAAAAGGTTGATAATGTATGACATTTGACAACTGTCAACCAACTTAACACTAACTTCAGCAAGTGACTAAAAACCTCTAAGTCTCGAATTTAATTTAATTAATAAACGACCTGCATACTATACTTTTTCTATGACAAATTAAATATTTGTAAAAAGCGTCATCTATACGAAAATAAAGTAACCATCCCAATAAACATTTTTGACGTAATTTTTACCATTTACATTGCCCTTTATTATTTTAATTGAACTTAACAATTAATGATACTTTAAAATAATAAAATTATTAATTATGTCAAGAAAATATTTTTTTCCTTGATTTTTTATTACTATAATTGCAAAATATTATCACAAAAACAAAAAGTGAGGAAAAATCGTCTAAAGACGATCGCCTTTAGACGCGAATTCGTCCAATCATCTTTCAAACGATCGACTTTCAAACGATTCAATCGGTTGCGTAGGTTAGGCGGTCGGCTGTACAGACGAAATATATATTTGAAATTCTTCTCTATTATAATAAAGAATTTCAAATATACTTTGGAATATTTGGAATTGTCTATTATTCGAAGTAGGTAGGTATCGCCTTTAGAATTATTTTTTTAATTAACTTAATTAATAATTATGACAAAATAAAAATATTTTCTCATCGGTTAAGTTATAACTTAAAATTTTAATTAAAACGATCGTCTTTTTTCGACTATTATTTTAGACGATCGCCTTTTGTATCGTTTATCACTTTAAACGATCGTCTTTAGGGTCGGCTATTATTTTAGACGATTAACGTCGATCGTTTAAATAATTAAACGATTTCGTTTGAAAGTAGACGATCTTCTTCAGACGATCGTCTTTTTTACAAAAGATCGTTTAAAAAATTAAGCGATATCGTTTAAAAATAGACGATCTTCTTCAGGCGATCGTCTTTTTTTGAACGATTTTTTCCCATGGAACAGTATTTATTGGAATTCCCGTTCGAATTTCTAACTTGGCAATCTACCGACGTTAAAATCTTTACTTTCTTTGTGTAAATCAAAATGTATCCCTTAAAAATAAACTAAAAATCGATATAGAAGCAGTTTTTTACAGTAAAAGAAAAGAGAATATTTTATGAGCACTGTACGCAAAATTTTTAACGCTTTATCAGTTAAATCTAGTTAACTGCACTACTACGGCGAAATCAAAAGTTCAGTACAAACGTTCATATAATCTTTTCAAATATTGGCCTTAAGAAACTATTTAGTACTTTTGTATTGAGATAATTAAATAATGTTCAAATTTAGTAGTCAACTAAACTTCAGCAAGTGACAAAACACCTGTTGCTAACTTCAAGTGTCATGGAAACGCCCATTGTGGGAGCCCCAGGTGGAAGTAGAAAAAATATATTTTTATCTGAAATCGGCAGTAAAGTAAAACAAATCGGCAGTAAAGTAGAACTTTACTGCCGATTTAATACGAGTATTGTATGCAACCCATTATACATTTAAAGATGTGTCTACTGCTCCTCAGCAGAAACAAAATAATTTTCTCGGCAAATAATTTCCACATTCGTGATAAAAAATACGACTTTACTGCCTTGATACATAAATAACTATTATTCATAAATAAAACAAGTATATATAAGTTTAGTATACTAAACTTTTTACCAAAGGATTTATTTTTTGGATCACATTTAGCTAGCCTTTAATATAAAATAACGGGAATGATAGTTTGCACACAATTTTATTTGTTTTTTTATTTATTTATTATAAAACGAAAAAAATTAAATATAAAAAAAAATTAACAATTTGTTTTTAAAATTTCGAACAAAATTCCTGCTGAGATATGTACATATACAATTTACATTTTTTTCTATGGAATGATTTCTATAAATTAACACAATCCATATAAACAAATAAAAAGTTTAAGCCTATTTAATCTTACTTAAAAATGGTTCATTTGGGTTAAAAAGTTTGAAAGTTACAGCAGAACCAAATACAAAATAAAATGTTGCTAATATACAGGTTAAGTCCTGAATGCGCACCGAACAAAGTTAGTTATTAATGTTAGTTATTTGTTCTGCACCTTTTTGTTGGTCACGGTTACCTCCTTGGACTTACAGTTGTGGTCCCAGCGCAGCTTGGTGATATCAGGGAGGGGATAGGAAACCTTGCACCGGAAACACACGACGTTCTGTTCGGAGCGGTGGAACGTCGCGAAATGCTCGAAGATGGCGGCCTTGCAGTCGAGGCTCACCTGGCAGAATCGGCAGCGGAATGACAGCCGCGGCACGGCGCTCTTGATTAAAGGCAAAGAGTCGTTGTGGATCGACAAGAGGTTATTTAAGTGCGTGAACGTCACTGTACTGTGGTTGGGCTCCTGCACTGCAGCGAAGTGCTTGAGGATCAGCTCGATTTTGGGGGTTATGAACTCGCAGTAGCCGATTTGGTTGTTTCCCTTGTGGTTTCTGAAATTTTAAGGTGCTCTAAGCGTTCCAGACGTTCTTAAATGCTTTTGGGGTCCAATATAATGTTCCCCAAATTACACTGATTTAAATTTACACTGCTAAACTGCTTTTCAAATGCGGCTTTACAATTTGGGACATATCTCCAGCAGTGTTGCCAGAGGTGGTACATTTGTACCTTTTTGGTACACTTGGTGGCAGAGTTGCAAATAATGCATTATTTTTTAAATGCATTAAGGTTTCAATGCACATAAATTAAAATAATGAATAATGTGTTTAATTTTCATTATACATTACTTCTTTTTTAATGAAAATTAAGTTTATAACTCATTACATTTTTGAGTGTTCTTTTTCACATTACTCATTTTTAATTTTTAATGCGTATTTTGAAATTTTCAATTACATTTTTTTATGTTAATGAGTAATAAACTCACTTTAAATTACTCTTTTTTTATTTTAAATGAGAAATGAATGATTATCGAATTACTCATTGTTGGTGGGACAAGGGAGATATTTTTATTGTATGACAAAGATATTTTTATTATATGACAATTTTTGTTTTGAATTGGTTTTTTACAGACGTTTAAAATTAATTATTCGTTCATACTGTAGCGAGTACCGCTCTGGATATCGGAGTGATGACTCATCGCCGGTGAGTCATCGCTGGTGAGTCAGCGCTCGAACAATCGAGAGTGTGGAGCTCGCTGGAATGTTCCAGAAGACGTAGGCGCTGAATATATAAGGAACAGAGCAGCATAAAGGGTTAGTTAAGTTTTGGTACTCGCGTCGAAATAAATAAATATAAGTGCAAATAAATAGACTCTTGAACTAGTAGTGATATATAAATAATTGTAGTTAAGTGTTTAGTAGTTTTATAGTTTTAGTGTTTTAAGTGTAATTAAGTTATTAAATAAATAGTATAGTTCGTTAATAAACTAGTGCGTGTTTTAATTCACACTACGAACAAGTTAAAAACGTTACAATACCATCGCGGATTCAATACTTTTTTGGGATTAGGTCGCCTTCTCACCTAATTATCATAATCCAACTATCAACCCCAGCTTTCTTGAGTTGGTTTAACGTAAAAAATTTGCAAGGAAATCAAAGTTTGAAAATTAAAATTTTAAAACACAAAATTTGCATGCAAAATGCTTTGGATAATTTTGATACACGAAAATTGTAAGAAAACAACTCGATTGTTTTGAAAATTTGATTTCTTTTGAATGAGTAATCAAAAAAATATCAAACTTTACCAGAAATGGATTTTTAATGAGTATTTACTCAAAAATATCGAAAAATAAAAGAAATCGAAAATCATCATTTTTCAAACAGTCAGACTTGGTGTAAAATGCCCGTTACCCTTTTTTTTTAATGTGTAATGTACAGTCTCTCATTACTCATTTTTTATTTTTTAATGAGTTATGTATTGTTCGACAATAATCATTTATTTTTAAATGTTTCTTATTATTTTTTTTTTTAATGATTAATGTATTCAAACTACATAACCATTAAAAAAATGACGATTGCATTATTTTTTACATTAACATTTTTGCAACTCTGCTTGGTGCTTTAAAGCAATTGTGACCAACCATCCTGGTTTACCCAGGACAAAATCTGGTATTTGCTAATTGCTTTCAATTGTGTACTGGTTTTGTCCTGGTTTTGAATATTTGGCCCTGGTTAACAATCATTTTTTTATTATTAAGCACACTTTTTTAAATAATAAACCGAGTAATAAACATTGAATAAAATAAATTTTATTAATTTTTTAGAAAGGCATGTTGTCCTGGTTTTTTATTTCGAAAATTTTGTCACTTAATGCTTTGGTGGTAAAAAAGTTCTACAAGGATTATTTTGGTACAATTTTGATAAATGATCAATATTTTGCCTATTTTCAATAAAGTTGCTGCTTTTTTATATTAATTTGCGGTCATCTCCTAGTATTCCGCTTTCTGTCTTAAGCCCGTTTCATATAGGGGGCGGGAATCTTGAGATTGATCCAATATTTTGCGAAAATCGCACTAATTAGGCGTGATGCGCACGCGTTTCGCAAAACACATTAATGCAATTGCTTAATTGTTTGAAGTTTTTTTTGTTTTTTAAAATGGACAAAGGGTTTTTTTGGGTACATTAATGTTTCTTATTTTATCTTTATGTAACTATGTAATTATTTTAGTACCTAAAATAGCATGGAAAATATCGCCTAGTAAAATAGAATGAAATAGAAGTTGCGAAATGCGAATATTCGTATTTCGCAATTGTCATTTCGCATCTGTATAAAACCGACTTTACAATAGCGTTAGTAAATTCGCCTATCTTTATTTTAATGTTCGTCTGTTGGCAAAACCGCGCTATATTTAATTTTGGGGGGAAAACGAAAAACCCAAAAACGTTTTTGTTTATAGCATTTAAATGACAGGTTTCAGGGGGCTCGACTATTTAAAAAAAGAAGTTTTTTAAACAAAAATAAGAATTTTCTAAATGTACATTTCTTTTTTATTTCTTTTTAAACCAGTGTTATTTTACATGCTGTTTTTAACATTTTAACAGGCTTGATATGTTTTTTTTTATATAAAGGTTTTGGTCAAAAATTAATTACATTATCCAGAATAAATTTATTTAAAAAAGTAAACAAAAGACTTATAAAATAAATTCTTAACAAAAAAAATAAAATATTAAATTTTAATTAAAAAAAAAATATTTTTTCTTTGGCATTTTATTTTTATTACTTTTATCACTGCAATTATAACACAGCCCTACCATAGATTAAGAATATAAAACTAACACAATAAAACGATTTTGCGGCCAGTATACTGGCCGCGAAATCGTTTTATTGTGTTGTATACATACATATATATACAATTACGGTCGTCTTTTAGACAACGCGCAGGATTAAACGAACGAATTAAACAAAATTTAAATTTAAAATCACATTTTTAAATTATTAACTGTACATTTTGTGTTTAATAAAATCTAAAAATATTTATTAAATTTCTAGAATGGAAATAAAGACTCTAAATTTAAGACAGTAGTAGCGCCATCTATTAAGAAAATTATTTACTTTTTTAAAACGTTTTAATAGATTACCTTTAAAAAAAGCTGTTAAATATTTAATTGTAACAGTTTTATAAATATCATTGATATTGTATATCATTGCTTATAAATATCGATATACCTATATCGCGATAAATATCATTATATATATCGGTCGAACCCTGCATTAGAAAACTTGTTTTTAACCGTTTTAAATATGTTTGACATTCTTAAGTAGGTATTTCTTGGTATAAATATTATAACACGTTAACTTTTTGCTTAATATTGTTGTTTTGTTAACCAAGTATTACTTAAAAGTTATGTATCTGTCAGATTTTGATGTTTAGAAGAATCAAATCTGACAACAAACACAAAAAAAGAAAACATTATAACACTATTGGAGAAACAGGAAAACACATTTTAAATTAAAACTTACCCTCTGGTCAATTTTTTCACCCTGACATAATTGCTACGCCCAATATTAAAAGTTATTGTTGTGTTTGTTGCCATGGTGCTGTTATTAATATTCAGTTCCTTAATGTCAGATAAAAATTCGCCTAGTAAAACCTTTACATCCTGTATCAATCCTTTTTGGATAAATAAGTACTATAAATAAAGAAAAGGGGTTAAATTTGCCACAAAATAAGGAAAGAGTTTATTAAATACATAACAGTAGGCTGTGAGCAAATTCAGCGGTGCCAATGTAGTTAAAATAAAACGTTGTATTTTAATTAACAAATTAATACTTTATTACAAATTAAAGTATTATTAAAAACTAAAATCAACCTAAAAAGTAAATAAGTAACAATTAAAATTGTTAATTTGTTTTTATAATGGCAAAATTAAGGTTTAAAAACTGTAAATTTTTTGTGTTTCTTAAGTTGGCAGCATGAAACTTAAAATGAAAATTTAAAGTGTTTTTTTAGTTAAGATAGAACATTGTATTATAATCAACAAATTAATACTTTATTACAAATTAAAGTATCATTAAAATCATCATAATCATTAAAACTAAAAACCCACAATAAGAATTGTAAATTTGTTGTTATAATGGCAAAATTAAGGTTTAAAACTGTCAAATTTTTGTGTTTCTTAAGTTGGCAGAACAAAATTTAAAATGACAATTTTAACCCCTTCAGACCTGGCGTACATACACATGTACATTAGCTTTTTAGTAATTTAATTACTATCAATAGGCATTAAATTTTATTTGGAATCTAGTATTCACCCCCAAGTACATTTGTTTTGGTAAACTAAGGTAAATGTTGCGACTTCTCTTACTTAAACTGCCCCTTTTGATTGAAAATTCTCTCATATAATGGGGATGCGCATAATGACCGCAACAACACGTTGATGACAGTTTGTCTTAGCGGGCCTTTAGATGATTTATAAAAATATTTTTTTAAATATAAACTAGTGTAGTTTGTTCCTAAAGGTATGTACTAAGACATCTAAAAACTATTTTGGTATTATCTACACCTAAACCTTATAAAACATTCGATGTACATGCATGTGAATATCCTGAAATTATCATGAAATTTTACAATTAAGATTTTTTAGCATCAAATATGTGTTATTTAGGTCCTAATTGGATAGATTTAGGAGCCATTTATTTTTTTTTCGTCGTAAAATAATTCAGGTTTGAAGGGGTTAAAGTGTTTTCGACCATTCCAAGCCCATGGACAGGACACATCAGAAACATGTCATCCTAAACATTAGGCATGTCATGTCTAAATATATTCTTGTTACTTCCTTAAGTTTACTTATTTTTTCTACGAGTATTTCTAAGAAGTATTAGCCAAATTTGGCTAATACTTCTCATAAATACTCGTCGAAAAAATAAGTAAACTTAAGGAAGTAACAAGAATATATTTAGACATGTTTCTGATGTGTCCTGTCCATGGGCTTGGAATGGCCGTTTTTTAGATTTCCTTAAAAAATATTTTTTCGAAAAAGCCGCGATACTGAATAATTACGTAAATTTAGATATTTTCTTACCTTTGCTGATAAATCAATTAACGTTTTCACATATGTATTGCAATAACTTTCCAGAAATTTCAGCGTATAGCAGCTCCTACTCGTATTTCTTTTATCAAAAAAATCTATTTCATCTATAAATTCATCCTTGTCGTGTTTTAAGGGACATGTTGTCAAACTAATGTATCTGGTGTAATCTGTAACATTTTTCCTGCCAAATTTCAGTTCGGGGGAGTCAAATTGGACTTCAACAAAGGGCCAATTTAAGAGCTGTTGGAAGGAAATGTTTTCCCATGTAAATGCCGGGTGTTTACGTAAAACTAAATTATCTAAAAATAACATCAAAATTAAGGTTATTGGGAACTACAGCATTAGAAAAAATTACTTACCAGCAGTATTATCTGCTTGTGTAAAAACCAGGGTATTTATTATATCTGGAGTACATTCTATACAAATAGTAAAAGGGGCGTAACCTTTGGGGGCTAAATTGTCCGTTTGTGTACCATGCTCAGCTTTTAAACCATTATTAATTTTTTTTTGTAGCTTCTCATTATTTTCTTTTTTTACAATTTCCACATTCTCTTTGTACCCATTTTTGATGATATATTTCAACTTATAATTCAAATATTCCTTAAAACGTTTAAACCACTCCTCCAAGCTTAAAACCCCATCAAAAAAATCACTACTTTTACCCCAACCAGGCCAAGATCGTATGTAAACTATAATCATTCGTAACAACACATCCTTAATATTTTGACTTAAATCGTCCAAATTAATCGACAAATCCTCCTTAATTATCTTTGAAATTGTACTTAACTCAAGTTTAATCTTCTTATTGCTCAAAATATCTTTAAAAATCAACATCAAGTTGTAACTCGCAGTTTCAGACATATTTATTTAAATAAAATAAAAATTTCCTCAAAATCCTGTAAACCGGTAAATTGAAAGCCAAAATTTTGCAAATACGGTATACAATTTAAAAAATAAACAATTTCATAGGTTATGTTGACCATAGAGAAAAACCGTCAGATTTCGGTGTTCCAAGCACTAACTGTCACTTTTAAACAGTGAGCCAAAAAAATAAAAAAGTGTGCAGAGAGATTTGTAGGTCACGGCAATCTGCATTCTTTAAATACTTTTATTATCTCAATACAAAAATACAAAAGTATTAAATAGTTTCTCAACGCCAATATTTGAAAAGTTTATATGAACATTGTACTGACCTTTTAATTTCGCCGAAAGTAAACTATAACTTAAATTCGGGCACGGACTTCACTGTAAAGTCCTCATAAAACATTTCCTTTACTTTCACTGTGAAAAACTGTCAATTTTCAAGATACATTTCGATTTATAACCTTTATGTTTATAAAATGTAAAAATGTGACATTTGACAGTTTCCCCTGTTGTTTCAAAGATGGCGCTCTATACAAATTTTTGATTTAAATCATTTTAAGATAATAATAAGTATTTGTCGTAGTAAAAGTATAGTATGCACCTCGTTTATAAATTTTTCTATACACTCATTAACTTAAGCACTCGCTCGCAAGCTCGCTCGTGCCTAAATTAAATTCGTGTATAAAATGGCGTTTATCAAACTTGATACATAATATACTATTTCTTATCAATTACAGAATAGTATATTCTGTAACAAGTTTGGAATACGGCATATTTCGCTCGAGTAAAAAGTTTGTCACACGAGACGAAGGCAAGTTTGACTGTTTCACGAGAGCGGAATATGCAATTCCAAAAGTTTCTGACTATACTTCTTCTACGTTTTCAAAAAAATACCATAGAAAAAAATAAAATTGGGAGAAAGCGAGGTTAGATCGGTCTTAAATTTGTTAGATATTAAACACAGAGATGTCACCACCAGTGTTTTTTCTCACATACTTCCACAAGGAAGTAGTACTTTCGAAGTACCTACAGTGTATTTTTTGAATGTGTGTGATTGCGTATGAATTAAACCGAAACTAAAATTAGAGTCAGTAGCGTATCATTTTGAAGGGGTCTAAGTATTTAAGCCGGATTTATAGTTTTAAAGGTAACGGTAGAGGCAGCGGTAAAGGTAGAGGTAAAGGTAGCGGTAGCAGTATCACTTTCTGCAATTTAAGCCGGATTTATAGTTTTAAAGGTAACGGTAGAGGCAGCGGTAAAGGTAGAGGTAAAGGTAGCGGTAGCGGTAGCCGAGTTCGGCATTGAATATTGTACGAAACAATTTATAGTTGTCAGAGGTAGCGGTAAGAGAGGTAAAGGCAAGAAGGTAGCGGCAAGAGATGACCATCTTTCATCTTTTCTTACCTCAACCGCTACTCCAGCCAATCACACGGCAGTTTTTAGTTAGCAGTTTCGCCTTGTAAGTTTAGTTTTTATGCGAGGGGCAACCAGACTTGATAATTTGTCAAAAATGGGCACCGTCATTTGTGTATTTAAAGAACTACTCTTTATCGGTCAGTTTTATTTTATTTTAATACTGGAAATGGCGTTTCTTAGCTCGTTCCCGATTTAATTCCCTCATTTTATACCGACGTACTTGACGACCCCCATAACGTACTTTAAACCCTGCAATACAACATAATATATTGTTTTGCAGGGTTTATTATATAATATTTCGCACAACGCCATATGGCCCAGAAGCACAGCTGTGCTAGCATTGTCCTCGCAATCCATGTTTTCGTAGAAAACTTAACCTTTTGCTGTCAAATTTTACAAACAAAATTACAATCTGCATTAAAGTACGCATGCGCCACCAGTACCGCTACCGCTACTTCTGAACTATAAATTGCAGAAAGTGATACTGCTACCGCTACCTTTACCTCTACCTTTACCGCTGCCTCTACCGTTACCTTTAAAACTATAAATCCGGCTTTATAGTTCAGAAAGTAGCGGTAGCGGTACTGGTGGCGCATGCGTACTTTAATGCAGATTGTAATTTTGTTTGTAAAATTTGACAGCAAAAGGTTAAAGCTGGAAGGTATCCAGCTTTATTGTGGGTGTATTTTTGGTTGCCTAATGTCGCCTCATAGTTACGCAACTCAAAATACATACAATTAAACAATAATTCTAATGATAGTTATTTTAACTTAATTAATGTAAAGTTTTATAAACGAATAACAATAAACATACACAATTTTTGTACATAATATTATGTACATACATATAATATATTATAAGTTAATTAAGACAAAACATTAATTATTAAAATAAAAGGTTATAGGAGAACGAAAACAAAATTACTAAAAGTCATCCTCGTCGGAACTGTCTTCTCCGAGGTGGATAACTAGTTCTGGCACGTCATCGACCATCCTTGTCTTTTGGAACCAATCGTCAATTAATTTGTTGGTGTGCCTCACTACTGAACACCAACGTTCTGGCGTGCATTGGTTCAGTGCTTGGCCCCACATTGCTAGCACTTTATTGTCGCCATAGCCGTCTTCCCCCATATGGGAATCATAATTTGTTTTAGCCTAAAACAGAGTTCGTTGTTGCAAGCGCCCATCTAATTGTTTATGTATTTACCTGCGCCCATATAAGTTCAATGGCATTGAACTGGCAGTGATATGGAGGCAGACGCAAAACCTTATGCCCATGCTGCTGGATGTACTCATCAACTTTTTAACGCTTAGGCGGGGTGTGGTAGCGTGCCAGAAACAGCAATTTCGCTTTAAATATACCTTTGATAAACTGAATATTATGTTCTGTTAGCCACTCTTCTATTTGCTGTTTTTTCCAAGCACTTGTAGGGTGACGCTCAACAACGACGCTGTGGAGAGCAATCAGTGAAGGTTCCTTTGACCCTTTAGTGGGAGCAGGAGTCCCCATGCTCCAGTTCCCTTTGAAAATATTGCACTAAATTAATAATAAAACGTTTCTGATTATCGTCCAAACGTTTGCAAGACATTTTTTAAAACCTGTCAAACTTCCAAAATCTGTTCTTTAATGCCAAATTACTGTATGAATGCCACTGACTAACCTTCAAATTTTGATAAATTTCGGCTCAATGCCACAACAAACTATACGCGCTCTGTCCTTTTTCAGCACAAGCCGCGTGAGCGCGATATCGGATTGACGTTTGTCATAAATTACGTTTAATTGTGTCGCCATCTGCTGGTTTAGCGGATCCCGATACGTTTTAGAGTTTCGGTTGAACTTTTACAAAGAAAAAAAAAGATAGCTACACATTTTAATGTCTTTGTTTGGTTCAGCAATTGATGACGCAATCACACACATTCAAAAAATACACTGTATGTGTTTATTCTCCATATACTTACGTGTGGTAAGTATATGTTATTCTCAGGTATTAAGTATGATTTATTATCTATGTACGGAAAATGACCGTTCTAATAATCATCTGAAAAAACATATTCAGGCTAATTCACCAACATGAGTCGTTAACGTTAGCCACTAGAATTAGTGGTAGAAAAATCTGATTTCTATAGAAATCATAGAAAACAAAGTCACAAATTTAAAAAAACCGTACACTTTTAATGCACTTTAGTGTATTTAGTTAAACATGTAGGCAACAGGAATGCAATCAAGTGTTGTTCCGATTACAAACCCTTTTTAATATTTAGATTGATAAACATAACCTCAAATGTTGATAAGTAAATAATAGCAATTATTTAGTATAAAATGGAGACTTTCAGCGTGAATACTATGGGAACAACAAGCTGCTACACAAATACGAGTGAAGTAGTGGATTTGGATTCGATTTTTATATCTGTATTGAACAAAAAAACGGTTTCAATTACTGTTGGAACAGCACATAAGATTGTCTCTTCACTATGTAACATACCGCTTACATACGACGCAAAATTAAGAAGCGTAATACCGCACATGCTGGTGCACCACACGAAAATTTGGCCCGGATGGCAGAAAGCCTCCAAATACCAATCAGGACAGTTGACATACGAGAAGTATTTTCGCTCTTTTAAAAGCTATTTGACATATAAATTGGTGTATTTGGCCAAAAACGATTTCAAGATCGCTTTAAGTCAGCATTACAGCGAAAATTTGGCGAAAGTGGAAAATAAAGGTGGGGTTAAAGTCGATTCTGAAACTCAGACCGAAATTACAGATAAAGAATTTGCCCCCTTTTCTCTTGTAATAAGCACCAGTGCTTACAATGTTAACACTATTATCTTCACAGAGGGGCCAAATGGTGAGTAATACATTTTTTTATTTTAAAATTAAATTGTTTATGCATAGGTATTCAATCTACAGAACAAAAATAAATACAAGAAATTATTATATAAAATATAACTTTATATATAATATACAAGGTGCCCCTATACTTAGTGGCATAAATTTAGGAGCAGATTAAGCAAGTCAAAATAAGACGAAAATCTAAATAAATATTTTTCCTAATTATGTATGTTTAAAAGATACAGGGTGATAAAGTGTTACTTATCATATTAGTTTTTTTAATATAACTTCTACTATGGTGGACTTGGAAAGGTGATAGTCACTTACTACCAAAACACATATTCACACATAATTACAATTGTTCGAGTGAACACAGTGTCGTAAAAACAGGGGTTGCTTAAGCTTATTATCCCATACAAACTTTGAGGTTAGGTTTTTATAGAATTTGATGCAATTTTTCGTTTAATCAGTTTGGCTACTATTAAAAAGGTGTAACTCTTAAACTTCGATAAAATAAACCGTTTCCGAGATATTTGAGATTACAATAATTGTTATATCGCATTAAAAGACTTTCAGGAAATTTTTTAATTGAAAAAACTACATTTTTTTTTAATGTAACGGTCAGGGCAAAAAGTCCCGAGGCTCATGGAATGCCCTTTTTAGTTCTTTCAATTAAAAAATAAAATTTGTTATCATATACCTTTTAATCCTTATAAATAATGCTATATAACAATTATTGTAATCTCGAATATCTCGGAAACGGTTTATTTTATCGAAGTTTGTATGGGACAATAAGCTTAAAGCAACCCCCGTTTCTACGACACTGTGTTCACTTAAACAATTGTAATTATGTGTGAATATGTGTTTTGGTAGTAAGTGACTATTCGCAAGATATCACCTTTCCAAGACTACCATAGTAGAAGTTATATTAAAAAAAAACTGATATAATAACTAACACTTTATCACCGTGTATCTTGGAAACATAGGCAATTAGGAAAAATATTTATTTAGGTTTTCGTCTTGTTTTGACTTGCTCAATCTCTTCCTAAATTTATGCCAATAAGTTTAGGGACACCTTGTATAAGTATAGCTTTATATTATTTAAGTATAGCTTTATATTATATACAATAAAGCTTTTTTAAGAAAAACCGAATTTTAAAACATGTTAATAATATGGACCCTTTAACAATTTTATTTGTTTATAATATTATAAATATTAGTATTTTATTCTCTTCACAATTTATTTTTTATTTTATATAATTATAATTATCTGTGTATTAAAACCGTAAAATTGTTAAAACCATGTTGAAAATGTCCTAAAACAATCTAAAATGGCAAAAAAACTTTCAAAATTGTTCTGATTATAAAACTAAACTAAGAATAAGCTTTCTATTACGTAAGGGTCTCTTTAAATAAAATGTCCGGGCAAAGTTGTCTTTTTACAGGGTGATAATATCACGATAATATCACGGAGGCCACCCAATATCACCGTAATATTGGGTGGCCTCCGCGTTCGTCTGATTTGATCCCTTGCGATTTTTTTTATGGGGGTATCTAAAATCACACACCACCCGCACTGCTCTATCCCCCCCACGAACAATGACCCCATAGAGAGTTTGTTTCTCTATGAATGACCCATAGAAAATGGGACAACCTTTTTGCCGCACCCTTTATATATATTTGGAATTTGACGTCAAAAATTTGGGTGTTTAGTTGGCAAATTCTAGTAACCCTAATTTTTGATTGGCTACACTGAGTAATACAACATTATTTAGTGGATTTATGCGGCACAAATTAATTATTTCATCAAAATGCTGTTTTGTTTTTAAAATTTCTTTTTGTCTGAATTGTCTGTAAATGAAAATTTCAAAGAAAAGTTAAGGCATTGAACAGAAGTATCAATTTTAAATATTAAAAATACCAAAGAACCCGGTCAACATTTAACGTAACACAGTATTGCCGTTATGTAATATAGGAGTCACATTGCAATGTAACGATGTTACTAAAATGCAACGCAACAGTTACCCAAAATAATGGTAACATTGTTACCGTTCCAAGTTAACCAATAGTCAATTTAACAATAACGTAACATTGCGATACTATTGTAATGTAACAAAATTACCAATAAGCAATGTAACAACAATGTAACATTGTGAAACTATTGTAATGTAACAAAATTACCAATAAGCAATATATCAGCAACGTAACATTGCAATACTAATGTATTACGTAACAGTTACATTTATGTTACGTAACACACTTATACTTATACACATCATTTACATCTCGCTCGTGTTACCACCTCGGCTAGGTATATAAACGAAGTTAAGACAGCGCACCATGTCCATTTGTCATTAGACCTCAAACAGTCTGCCTGATTATGGGAAAGTCAGAATACGATATTATGTATCATTTGATACGCTTTAGCGTTAAACTGACGGAACTTTCTCATGTCGAGCATAATAACGTTTTAATGTAACAATGTTACATAACCGTAAATGCCATGTTATGTAACATAACTTGGATTGCGAAAAAGTAACGGCAACGTAACAATGTTACCTATTTGCAACCATCTGGTTATGTAACTGTAATGTTACATATTACGATTTTTGCATAACATTTTGGTTAATATTACGTTACAGTTATGTTTCACTTTCATAACGGCAATGCAACATTGTAATCCATTAAAAAGTTACATAACAAAAACATAACAATTATAATGCATTTATGTAACGACAAAGTACATTGTTATCTAACAATGTTACTTAAAAAAGCGGGAAATAGGAACCTATTTGCAACCGTTAAAGGTTTTGTAACTGTAATGTTACATATTACGATCGTTGCATTACATTTTGGTTAATGTTACGTTACAGTTATGTTCCACTTTCATAACGGCAATGTAATATGTTATCCATTAAAAATTTATATAACAACAACATAACAATTATAATGCATCTATGTAACGACAACGTAAAAATGTTACTTAAAAAAGCGGGAAATAGTAACCTATTTGCAACCGCCAGGTTATGTAACTGTAATGTTACATATTACGATCGTTGGTTAATGTTACGTTACAGTTATGTTTCACTTTCATAACGGCAATGTAACATTGTTATGTAACAATGTTACTTCAATGAGTGGGAAATAGGAACCTATTTGCAACCATCAGGTTATGTAACTGTAATGTTACACATCACAATCGTTACATAACATTTTGGTTAATGTTACGTTACAATGTTGACCGGGTATATTACTTTGGTATTTTTAATATTTAAAATTGGTACTTCTGTTCAATGTCTTAATTTTACTTTGACATTTTCATTTAAATATTAGAATTATAATTAACAATGCTAAAGATAACAGACAATTTTAAGCAAAAAGAAATTTAAAAAAAAAAAACAGCATTTTGATGAAATAATTAATTTGTGCCGCATAAATCCACTAAATAATGTTGTTTTACTCAGTGTAGCCAATCAAAAATTAGGGTTACCAGAATTTGCCAATTAAACACCCAAATTTTTGACGTCAAATTCCAAATAAAAAAAACAAAACTGTAGCTTCCAAGCTACTAATAGACAACAGGGACGAAATAGTTTTGCTTAAAACACATAGATGTCGCCGCCAGTTCTATATTCCACATACTGTGGAAGTATGTGCTATATTCAGAATAGAACAGAATAGTTCGTTTTTTTTTATTCGGAATTTGACACATTTAATTATGTTGGTATTGTAAGTTTAATAATTTTGGTATTTTTAATATTTAAAATTGGTACTTCTGTTCAAGCCCTTAATTTTAAATAGTGACATTTGTCTTTTATCTGTCAGAATTATAATAAACATACATGTGTATTTGTACTCTGGGAATGTAAATTTGCCTCTTTTGTTACCTACTTTCATCAAAAGTAAAGTTATTTCATTTTTTAACAACCTATATTTGACATTTCAAAATTTATAAACATAATTATAACATAACCACAATTATATTCATATATATTAGGGTGTCCCTTATTTTTATTTTTTTACGCATACCCTCTTATTATATTTATTACTTGTTTATATACTCCCAGTAAAAATTTCATCTCATTCTATAAACCGGAACCCGTGCCAACTTGCATCTGAACCCTCCGTTAGCCAACGTTAGGCGCGCGGTATTTTGTAACACGAAACACTTTAAAAAGAAGATATACTTCATGACTGTATTTTTCTAATGATTTTATTAAATATGATTACTAATTAATATTATTGCTTTTGTTTCTATCATTTGTTTCACTAATTTAGTTGATTTTATCCCTTAAATATATTAATTACTAATTATTATTGCTAAAATATACTGTTATATGAAATTTCAGCTTTTTATAATCATTTCTCTTCTTGATGTCCTCCCAAAAATATTTCAGACAGTTCAATAAGTTTTCGGAAGTCATCTCTCACAATAGACTCTTTTAGTTATTTAGAGTAAAACTCATCAAGTTTACGGCCTATTCACCAGACCCTCTGGGTAACTAGCCACTCCCTGTGAAAATATACATTTTTATCAAAGTATACACATAAATAAAACTATATTTTAACATTTGTCAATAATTTATAATATATTATAATATATTATTATATTATTAATATATATATATATATATATATATATATATATATATATATATAAAAAAGGGTCACATAATAACAAACACAAAATGACTTACGATCGAAGACCTCGCGACCAACCGTGTTACAAAATACCGCGCGCCTAACGTTGGCTAACGAAGGGTTCAGATGCAAGTCGGCACGGGTTCCCGTTTATAGAATGAGCTGAAATTTTTACTGGGAGTATACACGTAATAAATATAATTAGAGGGTATGCGTAAAAAAAATAAAAATAAGGGACACCCTAATATATATGCGTCTAGATTATTTCTAGGAATAAAGGAAACTATTTCACAATTATTAAAATCTAACGTAGGTATATGTCAAAATTTATGAATAATTTTTTAAACAAAATTCCATTAATTTAAAGGGAAGTTATAATTAATAATTGATATTTCGTAAACTGGATAACTTATTTTTAATTGTTTAAAAAAAAATGTATGTTAAATTTGTATATAACACCATAAAATCCTAAAAAAAAATATGGAGGCTAAAATTTAATCGCTGTTAACAGTTATAGTGATTTAATCGCTTATCTCGTACTAAAAATACTAAAAATCACTGCAACACTGCACATCATACAATGGCGGCCACTTTTGTTGTTTACAATTCTTGTGCTTTGGGTTTGTACAGATTAATAATCGTTTTAAACGTGTTTCTTACAGAGAGACTTGCAAGCCTTAAAAGAGACCTCAAAGTGGTAAGAACAAGCATGTGGGTTATAAAATGACCTTAAATTAACCTTCAAATTGACATTTGACAGCCCTGATAGAATAAGGTTTATATTTAAAAAAAGATTAGTAATTACATTTTAAAATGATTGTTCTTACCTCTTTGAGGTCTCTTTTAAGGCTTGCAAGTCTCTCTGTAAGAAACACAACGTTTAAAACGATTATTAATCTGTACAAACCCAAAGCACAAGAATTGTAAACTAAAAATGGCCGCCATTGTATGATGTGCAGTGTTGCAGTGATTTTTAGTATTTTTACTACGAGATCGAACAGACCTGTTGTGTGGATTGTGCCCTTATGTAAACAAAATGTATTCAAAAATTCAAGGCTTTTGATTGGTTCATTTTATAGTGAGGGAAATAATCTCCACTAAACTACTGTTCATTTTTTTTTATTAAGTTGGTAGCTTATGACAGTTTGATTTAGTATTTTTAGTATTTAAAAAATGGTACTTTTGCTAAAGAGCTTAATTAAATACTCTGACACTGTCAAATTGACAGTAATAAGTATTTAGTATTGATAATTTACTTGTTAATTATTATATTATATCAATATAAAAAGATTACTATGCCAAAAATAATATCATTTCGATGAAGTTATGCCAAATGCATCAATGGCAGAAAAAGTACATCGCCTTATGGACATTTTTGGAGTAAAGAAGAAACGTTTTTGGTTTGGTTTGGTTTTATTAAATCACACATTATTTTCAGCTAAGCAGATCAAAATTTTTTGAAATTTTAAAAAATAAGGGGAAATAAAAATTATTTGATGTTACGTTCCATCTTTTTGTGAACAATCTAGTAGTTAATTTTTCTGTGAAAATAGCATCCATTTGGTTTGAAAAAGATAAGCAATAATGATCATTAATTATTAATTATTATAGTCTTGGACAATATATACATTATAATTATTATTAAGCCACTACAAGTTTAACGTCCAGTGGCTTTGGACAACATTCACGTGTGTTCACATAAAATTTTAATTTATTTTATATAAATTTTTTTAAAAGCGAAGATTATTATTCGCTAGGAATACTTTGTCTCTTCTGGGCCGTAGTCACTTATATTTAACTACTTTTTTATATGATTTTACTCATCTACGCACCACCAAAGCCAATTTTAACTACGAACTTTGACAACTTAACTTGGATCAACTTGACAAACGTTTAATGTAACCTACAATAATTTAAACATAACCCCAATTACATTATAATTACATTTATATCTATAGTCGTCGCGGTGAATGTTTCAAATTGCGTTATCAATGTTGAATGTCAAAAACCGATTTCTCGACATACGGTTAACCTAGCGGTTCCTTGGATTATTACGTAAAAGAAAACAACAATAATAGTTATGTTATGTCTGTGCTTGGTTCAGAATTTGATGACGCAATTTGAAACATTCGCCACGACAACAGTTGTTACTAGAGTTACTATAGTTTAGTTTGTTTTAATCAATACAACCAATTTTGATTCCGTATTTACCAAACAAACCCCTAAATTTGCAACGTTGCCGTAGTCTAGATAAAAAAGAACTTTATATTTTTTTGTAGAGAATATAATGTTGAAATACCATCTGCAGCCCAACTGGCCTTTAATAAACATGGCCATGCTTTTAAACTGGCCGAACATAAACGTAAAATTCACCGGGTACGAAATGGTGGTGATTAGAAAGAATGTGCACGACATCTCGCGGTACTTATCGGAACCGAATTTCCCATCAAAACCGGAACAGGTGGAATTTATCCAGGAAGTGAATGCCATAGACAACAATAAGCATAGAAAATCGTATTCGTTGAATCTGATGAAAGCCTACATGGAAAAATATCTTGAGAATTTTGAGGGATACATCAAAGGTCACGGAGAACCGAAACATTTGAGGACTCAAATAGAGGAAACCAAGGCTTTTTTTCAGCAGTTTATTCTGGATATTCAGGATATTAATATAAACAATTCCATGGGGGCTAACAGTTATGTTGTGTTTAATATAGGAGGAAATACGTATACCAGGAACAAGAAAGTTAGAAATCAGTAAGTAAATGCGATAAATAGTTCAATCAAATTCATATATTTTTTCCTAGGCCCACGCTGTGTTTATTCGAAACGATGACGCCAAAAGTGGAAACCTCCCTGGTGGGGTTCTACGGCGTCAAAGTGAACCCAAAGGGGCACGTTTCCTTCAGGACGATGAACCCCAAAAAGTTTCAGCCTCCGACTATCGAGTACACTTGCACCTATTGTCACGTTCGGTTTTTGAACACAAAATCCACAATAGACCATTTGTACACGAGGCATTCCGCGGAACCGGCTGTGATATGCACCAAGTGCAAAAAACAGTTCGAACTCCCGGATTTGGCGCAAAATAGGTACGCGCATTCGTGCACGACTTAATATAATAAATAGGGTTTAATGAATTGGAGTTTTAGTGCTTTTCTCCATTTGTACATATTTAACTAAGGTACAAAATTGTAAATAAATAACTGTTTTTCGTAAAATGTTTTTGTTTTAAAATCCATCCATACATCCTCACTCGTTAGAAGGTGTATATCAAAATTAGCACGGGAGTAAATCAAATTCACCGAACAAAAAAACTTAATTTACAAGGGACGTAAAACAGACAGAAAACCAGCTTGGCGTGGGAGAAAGGACTCGCTTCGTTTTTTTTATACGACCGCTTGTTTTCATTTCAACCTCACCCTTATTTATTCACAGGTGACCGGACTACTACGTTAAATAATTAATCTAGTCGAACGCGGAAAAACGACGTCGAAAGTACGGAGGGTCATTCCATCGTCTCGGGTGTTACATTTGTTCAACCAAAGTCTAAATTTTTTGTATTTTGAAATAACATTTTTGCAATTAAAGTTTGTTGTTACATTTGTTTGAAATTCAGCGACTTTTCTTAGGGAGACATTCCTAAAAATTACAGGCCTCTCAAAAGTATAATATTGTAACGTTTTTACTGTTCGTAGTGTGAATTAAATCACGCACTGGTTAATTAACGAACTAAACTATTTATTTAATAACTTAGCTACACTTAAAACACTATAAAACTAACTAAATACTTAACTACTAATTATTTATATATCACTATTGTTCAAGAGTCTATTTATTTGCACTTATATTTATTTATTTCGACGCGAGTACCAAAACTTAACTGACTCTCCATGATGCGTCGTTCCTTATATATTCAGTGCGTACGTTCCCGAATATTCCAGCGAGCTCCACTCAGCTCTCGAGCGCCGACTCACCAGCGATGACTCATCGCCGATGAGTCACCATTCCGAGATCCAGAGCCGTACTCGCTACAATATATTTTAATGATAGAATCCAATAAAAAATAAGTAATTGGTTTAAATGTGTTTTGGCGCTATGAATCACCAATTCATTCCAGTTGCATTCCTATTGGTAAGTTCCAATGAAGTCAGCGGCTTAAATTGGAATATACCAATCCATGCCTATGCTTGTCTATTGACTAAATCTAATAGAAATGCACCTGGAATCAATTGGTAATTCATGGCCCCAAACCCATTCAAATGAATTTGAACCAATTGATTAATAAAATAATTTATTTTTTTTAAATTTGGATTGATTGATTGATTTTTCATTCAAAAATAATTAAGATCCCAGAAGAACAACCGGGTAAAAATCAGAAAAGACAAAAAAAATATTATAACTGAGTAACTTTATTTGTTTATTTTTTTTGTGTTAGTGAGATATGTATTGATACATAACTTACTAACACAAAAAAAGTAATAAAAAATAAATAATATTACTCGGTTATAATCATTTTTTGTCTTTCTTGCAAAGAATGTTTGTAGGCATGGTCGAAATCAATATTATTTATGTCTAATTTTTTTATTTTGTCCGGTGTAACCACCATTCTCAAGCCATCGTCCCTAAACCTTACACATATAAACAATTTTTTAAGGTATAAGTACACAACTACCACTAAGCACAGAAACCCATAGATTATAAAAGAAACCGACTAATAAAAAGACGGCATTAAATAGCGTCCAAAGACATGTTTGTTTCTTTATGATGGCGTCTCAGCCATTCGAACAAGGACTGCGTACGTTGGTTTTGCGCAGCTACACGAGAGCCCTCTTGCGATATTTTAAAGTATTAGGAATAATCAATTAGAATTCAGACTGGGAATGCCCAATTGAATTCAATTGGAAATTACCTATGGATAGCTTTAACCAATCGAAACCACTAAAAAACAGTAGAATCCTAATCGGACTTTTCCATCATGAAAAATACCAGTAAAAACCAATTTCTGTTTTATGTCGCTCCCAATTAAACCCAGTAAGTCCAATTCAGACCTATTGATTCCAACCAATATTTCAATTGGTTTCTATAAGGAATTAATCGATCATTTACAACAGGGGTTTGACTATTTTACAACAGGGGTTTGACTATTTTTTTTATAAACTTTGTTTTGGGTATTACCATGGTTCTGTTTCGGGTGTTACGAGTACAAAAATTAAACACTTTGTATGGACGGTTTTATTAGTATCTAGGTACTACAAAATAAGTTAGTAACAAATAAACAAATAGAATAAATTCTCCTTAAACATAACTTAAGCAGGTTCCGGTGCGATTGATAAATCGGCAAAAAAGTTAAAACCGATTTTTGGCAATACTTAATGATTTTACCTTTTTAGATTATAATCTAAGTATTCGGTATTTTGGTAGATCCGTTGCCATTTACGCAGAAATACCGAAATTTCGGTAGGTACGACAACACCATCGGAAAAGCAGTTACACCTCTTTAAAAGCAATACACAAACATATATCGTTATATGCAGAGGCGGATTATCCATAAGGCAAACTAGGCACGTGCCTAGGGGCGCGAGGCTACAAAAGGGCGCGCGCACGTAAGTTTTTAAGCAAAGACAATAATTAACATAAAATTAAAATAAACACATAAAGATTAGTTAATTCTATAAGGATGTAAAGCTTCCGAAGTGTGTTCCGCCTTCTTGATTATTCATACATCGCCACACGGGTGTGTGTGTGTTCGTGCAAAAAACTACTGAACCGATTGTGATGAAACCTGCTATGTACAATGTACATAGCTTTAGACCGAGATTTACACATTTATCCCGAAATTTCCACGAGATGTGGCATCACGCGGGTGAAACCGTGGGGCGCAGCTAATTATTATATAAGTAATAGAAAATATATGGCCGCCGATGAGGTGCTTGCCTAGGGCGCTCTCGACATTTAATCCGCCTCTGGTTATATGAAAAAATTTATATTTATAGTTGAATACAGATTTTGAAGACTAATTAACTTAAAAATTACGCGTTTCTTCTAGTTTTTTTGTCGCACATTATAATTTGGAATGTTTTCTTTCAAAATTCATCAGATTTAATGCGAAAAGAAAATATTTATTTTTTCACCCTTATACTATAGTATCGTTTGCCATGGAATGACCCCGGAAGCAAGTAACAAAACGAAGTGTGTGAAAAGTTCGACAAAAGTGGAAATAAAATAAAATAAAAATAAAGTTTTGATCACAGACCTACAAACAAGATGGACTGGCCTTTCCTATTCAAAATACACAATGTTTTGTTGCCAAGAACTATTTAGATTAGGGGTAAAGGGGTAAGGGGTATTTATAAACAAGTTCCCACACCAGTGGCGTTCTGTTTTTAGGGATAAATAAAAATATTAAATTGTACATTTTTTATTGTGTTTTGCAATCCTATGTAAAAATTATATTTAATATATATAAATATATAGGTATAACAAAATACTAACCTTGTCAGTTAGTGTTCCAGATGATGTAGAATCTGGCTGTTTAAATCTAAAATTTAAGTGAATTCATTTATTTATTCAGTTTCTACGCTCCTGGCAGGGTTTGTTTTGTAAATAAACTAACCTATGAAAAGAAAGTTTTAAATTCTTGGATCCAAGTCTTTTACAAACGTAGCACTGCTTCACCATTTTTATATCACTCACTATTGGTATTTTTCACTATAAAATCAAATAAAAAATATTAAATGTTGTGGATTCCAAGTATCTTTTACGTAAAATATAGAAACTTCAAAGTCAAATGTGACAACTGAGGGAAAATATTTATTTTTGTTCCTGGCCACTCTTTTCAATGTAAATAAACCGGTCCATCTTGTTTGTAGGTCTGTGGTTTTGATCAATTATAAAATAGATATTTTTGATTTTTGTTTTATTTTGTACCTATACACCAAACCCCCTCAAAGTTGATCGTTGATAGAGACCTTGTGAGTTTATTTGGCAAATATTAGGCTTTTAAAAAATTTACCAATGCCATGATATTGGTAAATATTTGAACAAATCCAGAGTATTTACAAATATTATAATTATATTTGAAAGAATATTACTAAAAAAATTTAAGCTTTTTCTCGTTTACATTAAAATTTATAATTTTTTTGGAGGGTACTTAAAAATTGCGTAAATAAAATGTTTTTCCTACAATTAATAATATACATTTGTAATAAAAACTAAGTATTAACCTTAAAATAACCCAGCGAAAGTTTTTAAATCAAATGACCCTCTTTTTAATTCTTAAATAACTCGTAACTAAATGCAGATTGCAGACATCCGACGCCATTTTTGCTTCTTGTATGTTGAATTTCGTTGAATGCTATTACTAATCGTGGCGGTTTTTCATTTTTATGTTCCCGGGAACGGCCGTTCGACGTTCAACAACTCAAGTGACAAGTCAAAGCAGTCTGCATTGTTGGTTTTCGATTTTTTTTTGTGAATTTGGTTTTGTTTTTGTGGGCTCGGGCAACCCTGGTCTCTGACCATGATACCCATCTATAAAACACTCAAGAAGGGCTTCAGACAGAAGGGTTCTACAGTAGAACTTCTTCTTGACAAGAACTTTTGACTTTATTGATTTGAATTAATAGGCAGAAATAAATATGTAACAATTTAATTTTTTTATATTAAATAGAAGTATACCCAGACTGCAATGAAGGTTCGAAAATATTCCAGGAATATTCCCTATCGCCTAGGAAAAATCCGCTTCATTCTAGAAATATTCATTGGGAATATTCCTAGAATGATCCTCTAAAACTTTCAAGCATAATCTAAAAACATTTCCAGTGAATATTCATTAGTTTAGTTGCAATACCTCTCACCGTTGCTTACGCACGCTTGATAACTATATATACCGATAGGTTAATAATATCAGTTGGAGATGTGCGTATGTGCACAGCAAACGGAAAATTAAAATTTTTCCTTAAAAGGGTTTTTTCATGTTTTTCCCTTAAAAACCTCAACCAGAATTAAAAACACTGTACTTCAACACTACACACCCTCACCGCCAATTAACTCAACACTAAGAACCACCCCAAGAAGGCCTCTGGATCTCTACTGCGAGTGAAATGGCGAGCTCTGAAACCAGGAAACTTAAAGGATCGTTCATAGCACCACAAGGGCCAAACATCAGCCAGGCACCCACGAGACGCCGGTCA